CACCTTGTAGCATATAGACAAAATTAACTCAAAATGAATCATGGACATCAGCATTAAACATGAAACTACAGAAGTTGTAGAAAGCAGGGGAGGAAGCATCTTTTTTTCTTGGATTAAATGATGAGATACGAAAACACAAAGAAAAAAAAATTTCCTAAATTCATCTTAAAATTAAGTTTTTCCCAAGATGTTTAGGCGTTTGGGGAGATAGCTCAGGGCTGATCTCTATTGAGTTTGAGGCCAGAATGTCCAGGCCTTGTTACAAAAAAAAAAAATTGGAAACTAAGGCGAGTAGAGGATGAGGGTGTGCCGGCACTTCCTGCTGCCAGGAGCCTTCACAGAGAGCCACAGGTGAGGTCACTCACCCACATATGGGGTCAGATTTTTTTTTAAGCAGGTGCCCAGAGAAAGCTTAGTATTACACGCACAATCTCTTATCAACAATTCCAGAAAGACACCACGAACTCACCAAACAGCAACCAGGACCAAGGGAGCACGGCTGTCTTTGGGGAGTGTCTCACGGTGACTGCTGCTGCGGGCTTCTCAAGCAGCAGGCGGCCACATGGGTTCTGATATCCACATGTGGAAGGCAGGCTGAAGGCCTTGCTGGTTGCCTGCACCACGTGGTAACTTCACAACCACCCGAACGGTTGTAATGGATTCCGAATGAGCCTTCTTCCGACCTCCATGGACACTAGGAACACATAAGCGCATAGACATGCATGCAAAAAAAATTATAAACATAAAATGAAAAATTTTAAATGGAAAGGAAAAGTGTGCAAATATGGTAATTGTGGCATGGTTGTCTGACAGTGAGGGATGGCTGTATACAGGCGTTTTGACGGGGACAACTTCATCTAATGACTCAAAGACGACAGACAAAAAGAAGTGTGTGCTGTCTGGTTCCATTCATATAAAAATCTGGAAAAGACAGATACATTCTAGTAACAGGTCTGTGGGGTGGGAGAGATGGTAGCAGCCGAGAAGGGCACAGGGCTGATGGTGCCTAAAAGGTGTGTGTGTGTGTGTGTGTGTGTGTGTGTGTGTACAAGAGTTCAATGCCCACAGAGGCCAGAAGATGGGAATGGATCCCCTGGAGCTGGCATTTCAGGTGGTCGTGAGCCACCCAACATAGATGCTGGGAAGGAAACTCGGGTCCTCTACAAGAGCCACGAGCGCTCAACCACCGAGCCTTCTCTCCAGCCTCTGAGAAGCTGTCTGTTTGTTTGTTTTTAAGATGCACTGAGTACTGCTGCAACTCGAGGGGCCAGGTACCCTTTGGAGACCTCCCCTTTCCTGAGAAGGGGCAGGGATGGAAGGAGGAGGTGAGAGGGTGGGACTGGGAGGAGAGGAGGAAGAGGGCTGGGATCAGGCTGTAAAGTGATTAAATTAAAAGAAATGAAGAGAACAATTTGGCCTCCCCGCCACTCCAAGCGAGTCTAGTAAGATTAGTAAGATTCCAGATGATAAGGCCAAGTCCAGCATCCCGGCAAATCAGTGAGCCCGAGTCTGTCCCTTCTGCCTGTCTCCATGCAGCCAGTGATGCGCAGTGCACACGGGTTCAGCATGGGGGTTGAGGTGCTTCCCAAAGGTGCTTCAAAGCAGCTAGTTTCCTGGGCCCTCAAGCCAGGTTTTAAGGGCCTCTAACCAACTAAGAGGGATATGCTTTTGCTTTGGGAATGTGCTCCCTCCAGGGATGTGAAGGTGGCTCACGGGCAGGATTAGGCATTTATGGGTTCCCTGGCCACGAGACCATCACATCTACCAGACTCATAACCACAGCTCCTGTAGGATCTGCAGCTCTCGTGGGGAGAGAGCCCCGCTTCACAGAGGGCCAGGATTCTGTGGACACGCAGGGCTGCAGAGGGTAGCTGCAGAAGCCAGACTGCCTGCCTCACCTTCACAGGAAGCGGCAGGTAGTGGCAGGAAATCCCTCAGCCTCACACTTAACTACATCCGAAGTCCTTGGTCTGATAGGTTTCGGTGAAAAGCAGCTGCTGGGCCCAGGGACCCTGCCGCCAGGCTGATAACCTCTGCCCACCACAGAACTCCTCAATGCTCAGGGACACCGAGACCCCACAGGAACCCTTTTTCAACTCTGACACTCAGATCAGGGTCAGGGTACTACCATTCTTGAGGAGCACCATCATGGCCTGCAGGGTCTCCATTTTCCCTACCACATATTGAAGATGAGACATGTTTAGATGAAAAAAATCAAGGACATCCAATTTTATAGATGTAAACACCAGCCCCAAAAGGTGTCACCAAAGACCTCAGAGCTAAAGCGAGGTTCAGGTCACCACAGCACCCAGCAAGAGGCTTCCTGCCTGTCTGTACACAGAAATAGCCTCCTCTCAGCTGCGCACAGGACGTCTGGATCTCTAGATAACTTTGGCTTCCAAGATGGATGCTTTGAACAAGAGCCATGTTGTGTCATAAAGCCTGCCTGGCCTGGCCTGGTAGGGAAGGTGGACCAGGTGTGTGTGTGTCTCCTGCCTGAGGAGACTGGACTAGGAAGGTCAGTCCTTCCAGACCACACTCAGCAAGACAAGTGGCAGCCAGGAATAGCCCCAGGCGTCGCTGCTCGCCACACAGAGCCACCCTTCACCAATCTGCTCCTGTCACCTGATAAAATACGAACTGGAGCCAGGGCTGGGGTGGAGATAATCCTGTCTCTGCATTCCCAGCCACTATGTCTGGAGGAGTGGGAAGGGCCGTGGCCAGGCAGCAAACGGGCCGGCTTTTGGCAGGACTCAGAGTAACCAGGAGTTTCTCTGGACCCAGCCTAGAGGCAGAGTTCGCCCAAGCATGCACCTGCTCTCTGTGAGTACAGTGGCACACTCTGTCATCTCAGCACTGGGGGACCGAGGCAGGAGGATCACTGTGAACTCAAGGCCAACCTGTGATGTATACGGAGCCCCAGGGCAATCTGGAGAGTTCGTCTCAGTGCCAAAAGGCCCGGCAGTAAGCACCGTGCTCAGCCTTCCATGACAGGCTGAGCGAAAGGGCAGTGGAGAGGCTGGGCAGCAACAGGGAGGGCAAGGGGTAGGTCAAAGGCCTTCTGAAGCTTCCTAGCCTGGCGACCTTCAGCAAGCCTCAGGTCATTTCCCAGGGCCAGTTTCTCCCTCTGAGAAAGGGGAAGAGGAGCACTTGTGTGTGAGCCACAGGCAGGAAAGGCACCCGGGACCATGCACGGCTGTGGGGTGGGGGGCTTTCCCTGTAGCTGCTTGTGTAATAACTTGGTGGATTGTGTGTGTGTGTGTGTGTGTGTGTGTGTGTGTGTGTGTGCGTGCGTAGGCCAGTGGTCAACTTCGGGTGTGGCTCTTCAGGAGCCAACCTCCCTGATTTTTCTTTGTTTTATGTGGGCCCTTATTTCTGCATGGCAAGCACATTCCCAACTGTCTCTCCGCAAGCCTTCGCTAGGCAATTCGGGGATAGTGTGTGTGCTGTAGCCTGCTGCCACCTCAAGTGCCTGAACCCCAACCAGGTGGGAGCCAGTGTTCGTGGAGGACCCAAGGGGCACTGAGGAGGGAGACACAAAACCACAGAAAACACACCAGCTTCTAGAAATGTCCCCAAGCCTGCGCGCTCCGCAGCCACCGGCAGCCTCCTGCCATACTCCCACTGGGACCCAGCTGCATTCCTTTGTGGCCTCATGGCTGATCCTACAGTGAGCTTCTGGCTCTTCGGGGACAGCGCCAAGACAGAGGCTTCTCAGAGGGACAGCTGTCACAGCAGCAGGCAGGCACAGGGCCACTGAGCACCTGCTTCCCGGAAACATTCCCGGCTTGCCCATTCCAGACAGTTGTCTCCAGGCCGGGGATCCTGGAGGGGACCCTGCGGCTGCTTGTGGGGACCTGCCCGAGATCTCTAGCTCTCAGTCTAGCCTGGACTTCTGAATTTAACTGGCTGTCAGCTAAGTCAGGCAGAGGGCTCTCACTGAGCCATCAAATGCCCCTTGGAAGCCACTTGACTCCTGTGCATTCTCTCCTCCGACTTAGGCCACCATATCCCACTGTCAGGCAGCTTGTATGCTGCAGCAAAGATGGCTTCCTGAGCTCCTGCGTCCTGGCCTGTGTGACCTGACCGGACTGCTCTTTTAGTGTACTTCCATGCAAGTATACACACAAACACATACACAAGCACAAATACCTAGTAAGCAATGCTCAGAAGCCGATTCCACAATCAAAAACCAAACTGACAGAGGCACCACCCATGAGCCGTCTGGGCGGAGAGTGCCGGAGAGGCCCATGAGGCAACTTCCTGCATTGATGTCCCAACCTCAGGCAAGAGAGTCAGTACTGTTGGTGCTGCAAAGCGAAAAGCCCAGAGAAGCAATACCTAAGGCCCCGGTGGGGAAATGGGGGCTTCCTGTCCTTTGCAACACCACAGCGAGGCCACGCCCACCCTGAGGGAGTCTACAGCCAGAAGGTGAAGAGGCTTTGTTCAAAGGCTGCTTTTCTATGGGCCACACAAACTAAATGCACAGACTTCTGGGAAATGACGTGGGGGGGGGCATTTTCTGTCTGAGGACCCTGGATGGAGGGCACTCGGCAAGCTAAGGGCTTTCTTAATAGTAGCCAACAGTTATTTGGCACCAAATGTATACACACTCAGTCATTTGCTGAGTGTGCAGTATCAGAGGCTGGTTCAGGCAAGGAGTCAGGTCCTGGCTTTATCTCTTCTAAGGCATGAGTCTGCCGGTTCTCAGAACCCCACACACCACCTGCTTCCTTGTTCATGAGCTGGAAAAGCCCCATGGATCATCATGGGGAGCTCACTCTAGAACCAGAGCCTAATTTATTCAGACACACTGGCCAGTGGGCAGTGCCCAAGAGACCCTTCCCACAAGGTCTGGGTTTCATCCAAGTCCACACAAATGGCCTTGAGCCAGGGGTCCACCGTCAGGACACAGAGTCACTCCAGCAACCTTGGGTTCCCCAACTTGCCATACAAATATTCCAGAGCCAGAGTGCTTTAAAATTAATTTTATTTCTCTTTATAACTTTTATTTTAAACTTTTTTTAAAAAAAGGTTTGTTTGACATTGTCTTCAAGAGTCTTGCGCCTGCTGGTAAGTGCACGCGTGGGTTTGTGTTCACAGTACTCTCCATGACCAAGGACGGTTGGTGCTTATTGCTGGAAAGAGTGAGTGTCCACGCCTGGGTGGGCATGGGCGTGAGGGACAGCAGTAGAGGAAAGCCTGGGGTCTGTCAACAACATGAGGCAATGAGCTGAGGGGACAGCCCAAGAGAAGCTGGGTGTTCTCGGCTAGACCCACATGGCCTCTCTGGGGGTCTCCCTAGCCCTGTCTTTTGCCAGGCAGGAGGACAGGAAAGGAAGGGGAGCCAAGGAAGCCAAGTGGGCAAAGCGAGGCATGCAGTGGGGAAGGATGTCAAGAAATGTGGGCTTGGGGGTCCCCATGTCCAGAGCAGTTCAGGCCACCCTCACTATCATTCCCATCCCCGGCCCCACCTCCAGGAAAAAAACCCGTAAAGAGCAGACAGCCCAGGACAAGGGCTCTCCTCCCGGCCCTCACCAGGACCCATCACTTTTCTTTAGGGCAAGGAAGTCCTGGATGCCAAGAAGGTATTTCCAGGCTAGCCCTGAGCTAGTGTGGGGCTGGGACCCCCATGGCTTTCCCAGCTAAGGCGACAGCCTCCACACACAGAAGGGGAAAGCTCCAGGGAGCTCCAGCCCTGACAAGCAGCTCTCCAGCACCCACCACGCCCTTGGCACACTTGGCTCAGTGTCCTCCAGGTGACTGCAGCCCCCAGCTCTGGTGGCCTGAGAATGAGCGGACATGAAGCACCCCTGAAGGAAATGCGTCCCAGGTGTAGGAACAGAGCTGGGTTCTAGCTGTGTCCTCCCTCGCTGTCACCAAGGCTCCCCTAATGAGGCTCAGCAGCAGCAAAAGACATTATTTTCCTTGTGATAACAGTTTTCTGTGCTTATTATTGGTTGGGGTCCAGTGATACAGCTGTTGGCATGCTTCAAGAAGTATCCCTCAAGCAGCACAAAGCAGACATTGCTGGAAACCTTGGCATCCTACAAGGCCAAGTTCTCGGGCTCCAAAAGGTAGATCCCAAGACTGACCACCACGTGTCAAGCAAGTTTTACAATAGCCTGGCACCTCCCAAGCGCGAGGTCTCCAGCTCTGGGCCTGGGCTTCCCTCTTGAGTCAGCTGACTACTCCCCAGACCTCCCCACCCCCAGGAGCACCTATGATTGGGAGGGGAGGTGGCCAAGCAGCCTCCAACGGGTGCTTGGAGCTTATCTGCAGCCCCCTTCTCCCCCCACCCCGAGAGTCTGGGCGTTGCTTCCCCTGAGAATGAGCCTGAAGCCCTGTCACAGCTTCTATTCGGTGTGCTAGCAGATGGGCATCCTGGGGTGCTGAAACCCCAGATTCGAGTGTGACAATGCTGGCCAGGAGGGAAGGGCACACCTTCTTTACCTTAGGACAGCTGAGACTGATTCGTGGCAATGCTCCCAGCTGACCCTGCCAGGCATTTGGGACCAAGGTAAATGGAAGAGGAAAAGCCACACACCTAGGGACGGGTTCAGGAGACAGCAAAGGTGAAAGTTCCCTAGCCCTGACCTAATACTTTGGGACCTCCCCTTCCTTCTCCCAGAATACCTTCACCAGGCAAGTTAAGGCTACTGAGGAGAGAGGAGGGATCAAGGATCTATGCCCAGCTCATACCCCAGTGGGTACTGGAGAGGGGTTCTCCTGGGGTAGAGTAGGGGCTCTAGGAAGAGTCTGTGGTTTTGATTCTGCCACAATGACAGAATAAAACAGCTGGTTTTAGACCTGAGTCCCCATTCTTGCCCCTCAACCCTAATACCCTGGAAGAGGGGTTCAGGTGGACCTCCCTCTGGCCCTGCCACTCTCTCCAACTCTGGCAGAAGAGGGCAGCCCCTGGGGAGCAGAGATCCTTGACCTTTCCTTTTCCTTCTCTCCTTTAAATTCAGCTTAAGGCAAAAGTTTGGCAAAGCGAGTCTACATAAGGCCGCATGGCAGAGGACAGACAGAGGGGAGGAGGCGAGAGGGGCGGGCTGGGCCCCCTCACAACCGGCCGTCTCCCGCCTCTCCTGCCCCTGAATCCCATAGAGAGGAAAAAAAAAAAAAAGAAAAGAAAAAGAAAAAAGAAAAGCAGTGTCTCAGAAAATCAGCTGCAACAGACAACTGAGATTGTGAGGGGAGAGGAGGGGAGTTGGGGCTGGGTTGGGCGCCTGTTTGTCCTACGGGACCCCCAACTCCCTGCAGGGAAGCAGATGGAAGAGCCAGGAGGCCAGCGGGTTAGCACAGTGAGATCACCCCTGGAGAAGGTAGAATGGTTGTATTTTTGTGAATGACCGGAGAGGGCATCGGGGTTTCCTTCTGAGCAGTAATATTGTTCCGTGAGTCTCAGCTGGCTGGCAGCGGGCCTGGCTGTTACCGGTGCTTGGGCGGGATCACCACCAGCGGTTGCCCGTACTTGGGCCGCCACATGAGGACCTGAGCATCGTTGGCATTGGGCTTGACCAGGGCGCTGGGCGGGATGGGCTCGTTCTTGCTTAGGATTTTCGGCTGGTCCTGGGCAATGGGCTCCCGAAGCCTGGCGCGCTGGCCCAGGGGTCGGTTGGGGTTCACCTCGATGCTGAGCTGCATGCGCCAGTGCAGGGTCTGCAAGATGATCATGTCGTTGGTCGAGGTGTTGGTGGCCACCAGCCACGTGGTGAAGCTCTGGTCCCGGTAGATGTTGGTTAGTTTGGCCACGTTGCTCTCACTGACGGGCACGGCCCACGTGACACTGGGGTAAAAGTTATCGTTCATGCTAATGATGAACTTGGAGTCTCTCTTGGTGGGCCCCACGATCGTGCAGGTCTCCGTCGTGTTGCCATACCAGGGGTAGTTCACCCCATCCGAGTCACTGATGGCCTCAATTTTTCCCTCCTGAAGATCGGGGAGCTCCCAGCTAGACCTGCGGGGTAGGGGAGAAAGAAGGCCAGTCACTCGTTCAGTCACTCAGTGAGGCTTTTCTGCAATCTCATGGTGGGTCAGGCACTGTCCTGGACCCTGGGGACAGAAGGTTCTCGGCAACCCCAGCCCCCTTTGCTCATGGGGCTTAGGAGGGGCAGAGCAGACAATAAACAGGAGATGCAATACCAGATAATGTGAGTCCGGTCACAGCCTGCCTCAGTACCCCAACTGCTGGGCTGGAGCGATGGCTCAGTAGTTCACAAAATGCTCCTACAAGGACCCACATCAGCAGCTCGCAAATACCTGTAACTCCAACTCCAGGAGACATGGCGCCCCCTTCTGGCCTGTATCGGCACCTGCACTCATGTGTATACACACACTCGCACACACACACACATGCACACATGTTAAAAATATTTTGGGCAGCTGGAGAAATGGCTTAGAGGTTAAAAGTACTGCTCCTCTTCCAGAGGTCCTGAGTTCAAGTCTCAGCACCCACATGGTGATTTACAACCATCTATAACTGTAGTCCCGTGGGATCCGATTCCCTCTTCTGGTGTTCAGATGTATATGCAGACAAGACCCACATACATCAAATACATACATAATTTAAATACATATGCACATATAATATTTTCTAAAGACCCAGACTATCAGTACCATCCCAGGGCAAACCACTCTCGAAGGCCAGCACCCTTCATGAGAGCCAAGGTCGTGAAACTGCTAGATGCCAATTGGGACTTGGAGAAGCCCTATTTGTCTCCTGACAGGGACCTGTCACCCAGTCTACGGCAAGGACAAACACTGGGTCTTCGCAGACACGGGTAGAGCAACCACACAAAGCCACACAGCTCTCCGACTTGGCCTCTTCGGGGCGCGGGGCTCTCCTGCACACACAGCACTTGAACGCAGCCTGCATATTCAGTCTGCAGTGGCTTTTCCTGCCACTTGGTCCTCACTGGGATGTGAGCTGCTCTTCTGCAACTGTGGGCGCCAACGGAGTCCGATGGCTATAGGGTCAGCTGCTTTGGGGAGGACCCCTGACCCCTCCACTGGCTGGCCTGTGACCTTAGGCAAATACCTGCTCTTTCTGAGCTTCAGGGTTGTGGGTTCGCAGCCCACACCCCTTCTCCATCCATGTCATCTCCACGGCAGGAACCAGGCATCAGGCAAGGCCTACAATGGCCTCCTCACTTGCTAGCGGCCTTTTCTTTTCACTCCGATATCCTGGAAGACTGGTCGCGCCCCTGCTAAAAGGCCACTCTCTTGTCCAGCCTCACACACTTTCCCATGCTGTTACCTCCAGACTCAGCCAAAGGGTCTGCGACAGTCACCAAGCCTGGGGACTCTATCCCTGGGGACTGGTATGTCCTTTCTCCCGTGTGCTCAGCCTGACACACTTTGCCCGCTGGGGCTGTGAGGGGTGTCTAGCTTGGACATGGGAACCCTACAGGCTTTAGTCTCAGCTTCCCTGGTCATGAGAACCCGGGAAACCCACCCTGGGACCTCCGACATATCATACTTGTTACAGAGGATTGCAGGAACTTCGAAGGAATTTACATATGCAAAATAAAGGCCTGTGGCAGAGACTGCCAGGGTTGGTGCAGACAGGAGAGGATCTGCCAGCCTAGCTAGGTTACTACGGGGACACGGACACACCCTAGAGCTCCCAGCACCTGTGGACACAGTGGCTGCTGGGAAACTCCAGGCTTCGGGGTCACTCGGCATACAGACCCAGGGACTGCCACCTAGGAGGACACCAGGTGGAATGAGGCAACACCTGCCTAGATGCGTCTAAGGCGTGGGGGCTGCTGCCCCCGAGCCCAACTGTCCCACCCAATTTCCAGTCAGGCCTGGTAACACAGCACTGAGGCTCACAGCCTCAGCCCCTACCCTTTCCCTGCAACACCTCCTCACCCCGCTGCTAGCCAGGAGCCCGCTCCTTTTAAAAGTGCGTTTCTAGCCAGGCACCTGCCTGTAGTCACAGCCCTCGGAAGAATTCAGAGTCATCCTCAGCTACATAGCAAGTTCGGGGCTGGCCTGGACTACCTGAGGCTTCTCTCAAAAATAACATCAGAAGTGCTTTTCTGTGTGTGGCACGAGCAAACTTACCAGAGCCAAGGGGATAATGCTGCTGAGTGTCTGCCCTGGGGGCTGAATGGCTATAGAAAGCAGGCTTCCTACACACAATGGAAGAGCCTTGAAAGGGAAGGAAATTCTGACGCACAGCACAGCACTGCACAGAGGAGCCCAGGGACAATATGCTAGACGAAAGAAGCCACCACAAAAAGACAATGACTGCAGGACAGCACTTACTCGTGGTGCCCAGGGCACCTGAATTCTGAGACAGAAAGTGGAGCCAGGGCTGCCACGGGCAGGAAATGAGGGTGGTGATTAATGGGGCAGAGTTTCAGTTAGCGATGACAAAGAGTTCCAGAGATGGGGCTTGTGACTCTTCCTAACGCCACTGAATTGTGCGCCCAGTCATGCCGCCCAGGCTCTCTGCTGAAGCTCAGGAGAACGGGCAGGAGCTGGGTTTTTGATTATTTTAGTGTTCGTGTGGCGTGTGCACATGTTTGTGCATAGGGAAACACGCGTGTACAGGAGCACCAGTGCCTGCCAGAGCCCTGGCGTGTGCACATGTTTGTGCATAGGGAAACACGCGTGTGCAGGAGCACCAGTGCCTGCCAGAGCCCTGGCGTGTGCACATGTTTGTG